CTTATAGGTAGAACAAGAAGGATAAATAGAGTAAACTTCCAAGTCATCTTGAAAATATAAGAGAAAACCACTAGTATTAAGCATCGTTCCAATGTTGAACTTTAACATGATGTGGTCCTAAACTTTTGTCAGTGTCACATTCTACAGACTCCCAATAAAGGATTCAGATTTCAGGAAAGTTTGGCTTACAATTGCACCGGCAACCCTGCTTCTGTTTTGTGAGTGGAAATGTGCACTCACGAACAAGAAGATGCGGCCACTTTAGTGAGCAGTCACTTGATTTACATGTATAGAAACAGCGTCTGAAGCTCACCTCTCAAAGATCACAGACTTGACACTTGGTAGTTTGAAACTTAAGGCTTATAAGCATTAAGTTTTCCAAAAAATCGATTTTACAGATGTTCATCTGAAAAAACCTTGTGCTGTTTGACATGAAACAAAAAGTATCAGACATATTTTGAAAAGTAGATGGAAACTGCTGGATTCATTAAAATTGCAAAGGAAAAGCTGCTCTCATGCAAGAGTTCATGGTCTGTGGTCATGGTTAACACCCTGTTCTAACTATAGTAGAGATTTTTGGCCAGATTTTAACCATATCCCCAACATAATCTTTACCAGCAGGCTCTCACAGGTTAAGTGGTGATCTGTTTTCAGTCACTCCTTTTGAGACTGTTCATTTCGCAGAAATCAGCATGAACTTATTAGAACAGGACAGGAATCTATCCCATCTCATTTCTCTTCCCTCCTAGCTCATGTATTTTTTTCCTCTCTCAATGATCACATAAATATTTTGCATAAAAAGAAACCACAGCAATAAGTGAACGTCAGGGAGAACTTTTCGGTACATCCCAGCGACAGGGGCTCTCATCTTCAGCAGGGAGCTGAATTTCAAATCCTCTGCCTCATCCATGGTAGAGTTTTGAACTAAAGGTGGTTACAAAAATTTTATGAAAGAGGTCGGTTCACAGCCCTTGCAGCAGAAGAGAGATTTTTATTCAGGTCTTATGTGCATGAGAATTTTCACTCAACACTTGGACAAGAGGAAATACATTTTTCAAAAGTTTGTGCATCTATCCCAGATTCTTTTTTCCAGTCAACATTATTGTGAGTGTGGAATACATTTGCTATTAGTTTTGAGACAACTAAGCCCACATTTTTTGTGAATTTAATATTTGTCAAGAGGAATGGAGGAGGAGGAAGAAAAAAGACTATCTGTTCCATGTATAATAACAGTAGGAGAAAAAAGCATATAGAATATCCTAATATTACAGGCTACAGGCTTTTTCTTTTTTCCGTTACGTTAGCCCGTATGTTAAAAACCTTTGGGTTAAACAAGAAGAGTGAAACGTAAACATATAGCTTTGAACTTGGCTTGATTTTTTTAAAACTGCTATGTGCTCAAGACAGCCTGTAGGAAATAGAAACTGCACTCGCATAGTAAAACCTGAATGCTGTATGTCGCAGCACTAACCACAGTTCTGAGTTGCAGCAGACATTTTTGTTTCTTAAGCAAAGCATAAACAAATACATCACTCGAAAGAGTTTTCATTAGGAGAAAGGAGTACTGTGTTGAGATCTTAGATTCCTCAAACAATGAAATAAATCATTTGCAGACCCCAACAGTGATTTTGTCTGGCCAATTCAATAAAGATCACAAATGCTTCCAAAGACATTTCTGCCTAGTTACAGTCAATTAAAAAGGATGGTTACTGACTGTGGAGAAGAAAGGTAAGCAGGTAAGAAAGTGAAGGCGCATAGGAGGACATGACAGAAACGCAGAACCTCAAAATACCTGCCGCTGAATGAATTATAAATTTTGTGAAATAAGGCTGACTGTGACTACAACGATCCTACTTTTCTACTGTAATATTACAATAGAAGAAAACCTTTTGCAGAAAATATGTGCCGGTGAAAAGTTTAAAATACCTTAGTATCTTGGGCAAAAAAAGAGATTTTCTTCTTCTTTTAGTTTTGGTACATATATAGGCATACTTTTAAACCTAAGATTAGGAATACTTCTTTCCTGATCGCTAAGCTTACCCAAATTTTAAAGAGTGTCACAAATATAGCTTGTTCCTGTTATGCTTCTCCAAATTATTACAGTACAACAAAGAAATACATTTTACTAATTTCTTCCGCAGTACATAAATGTTTATGCCAATTTCCTCTCTGTAACACTGCTCAAGATTTCAGTACTATTGAAACCCCCAAACTTGAAGTGCCAATACTTAGTTTGCATCAGAACCTACCTCCATCAGGTAACGTTTTCAAGCTTTCTAATTTTCTATGCAGAGCTGGTGAGTCATATGCTTTAGGGAATGCTAAATAAAACCCAACACTACATGCTAATCTCACCCACTCTAGCAGGTACCTCAAAAAAAGCTATGTGGATATAGATAAGATAGGAGCCAGCAGAAAATACTGCAGATTAGAAGTGATATGATCTAGAAGAAAATCTTTTAATCTCTAAGCTATGGAAAGAGCATGAGGGTGCAGTGGATAGCTATATTTTAACAGGTTCAGCTCCTAAGCTCTTCTTTTTGAACTGGAATTTGATTCAAATTGCTCATTTTTGATATGGATGACTCTCCCCTTTAAAATGATTGAAACTTGATTGCTCCAAACAATTGCTTGGAGTTGTAGCCCAAATATGCGGCTTTAAGAATAGCATTAGAGCATATCACTTGAATTAATTGTGTAGGAAGAAGCAATGCTATAAACAAACATAGAAATAATGGAAGAGGTAGTCATTTTGAGCTATACATGACAGAACAAAATCACTCCATCACAGCTGACTGCAAAAACGTTGTAAACACAATGGAAAGTGAATGCAATATATTTGTTTCTGAATTGTCATAGAGCTCTTCACCCAGTGTGATTAGTGGAGGGACTCATAAGTTGATTTATTTTTTATGGGCTGCTAGGAGAGCATTTAACAAGAGCACTCGGCTGAAGAACTGCGGAGAGAACGAGGAATTGCAGATAATCAGTATGCTCAGTAGAGTCCACTTAAGAAACGTTAGGAGATGAAAAAAGAAAAGGAGCAGTGGATGTTTTAAAATACTGACTTAAAAATCTGAAGGGATGATATCAACGCTAACACTTCAGAGCAATCCTTAAAGATTCATACACTCCCAAGTTTTAATTTAATGACACTATTATCAAGGCAGACTAACGGCTGCAGTGCTGTTGGCAGGTGTAACGCACTTGCAGAGAAAGCCCTCATGATGTTGACTTCGCCTATCTGGCTTATTTAAGAAGTTTGCTGCAGGAAGAATGCATAATCTTTGGCATCAGTTGCCTAGGAGCTCCTTTCATCCATCTCTGTTTGCAATGGAAAGGGTTATGCCTTTGTGCTCTATTGCCTTGGTCACGGCTGCTGCTGGAATGACAATTATTAGCTAAACAATCCCTCTCAAAACAGAGGAATATCTGAAACTTTTTAGGAGTGATTCCCTGTTAAAGGAGCTATGACAGTTTACAGCAGCTCAGGATGTGACCCTGCGGCACAGCAGATTTTCTTCCCCAAATCTCTCCATGATTTTTGAGGAGCAAAAAGGCTATCAAGTTCTGCTAATGTAGGATTCTAAGATAACATGAATTTGGAAACACTTCAAAGAACAAATTGAGGTACAAAGTAAACTGAAAGCACTATTTGTTTATCTGGCCTGAACAGAACAAATCAACAGGAGATAGGAAAGAAAAAGCAGGGGAAAAGGCCTCCGCTGAATAACAGAGTGTGGATTTATACTTACTTTTTAATGGATCAAATATCACGAAGCTATTTAACAGCAATGTAGATTGGCTAGAAAGTGAAAATTTGATTGCCCAAGCAGTTAAATTAAGCATCAAGAAAACTTAAAATGCTTCTTAAGATTTTACTTAAAGACTAAGGAGTTAGAAAGTTAGGAAGTTTTTAGAATTGGGAATTTTGTTTTTACATCTTCTCCCAGATAATGTGGAAGGATAAGACAGTGCATTAACTTCTTCCTCTAGTGTTTTTTTACAGCTGTAAAAAGCTGTAAAGCGAATAGGACATGTCATGTATTTTCTGTATAATTATATCATACCAGTTCATGTTACTATAAAGAAGAAAGAAGGCAGCATTGAGGGCATACCTACTGACAGCTGTACTGTCTTGGTGGTAATGTTCAAGAAAACAGGAAGAGATGCAGAGCTTTTATCAGCCTGTTTTACTATGACTGCCTGACTCCTCTTGTTCCAAAACCTACAACCAATATAGTGTTTTCTGCCAACATATAGCTCCCTCTGCTTATGTGTAATATAATTACTTCCTTTGTCCTGCATCCATTTTGTCCACGGACTCCGAACTTTTCAGGACAGAGGCTGCCCCTCCTCTGGGATCGTACGGTGCCTAGCCAAAGAAAGCCCAGTTCCTGACTGCCCTTTTTGTGACTGCCACAAGCACAAGGCAGAGACACTCAAGACTAGCCAAAGATGGCTCACGGCTTCCTATTAGCACAGGTAAAACTGAGTTTTGTCATGCCCACATGAAGTGCATAGTGACTCCTTGGGGCACAGTGTCAGTTTGCCCTGATCAGTTTCATCCTCCTCCTTTCCTCTTACCTTACCCCTACTTTCCACTCTTCCAGGTGACGAGCATCGCAAGGCCCAAAGGCAGCAGTCAACAGACCTACAGATGTCAAAAGCAAATACGGCCTTGCTGCCTCCCCAGCTGTGGCTTTGTAAGGCATGAGCTGGGCCATGTGTCACCACGCTCACTGCAGTGGCAGCACGTTACTATCCTGCTGTGTCCAAGCGAGGGAAGGATGGTTGGCAAGGAAGGAGACTGGAACCGAGCAGGTCTAGACCGGCTGTACAGGTAGCGAGGTCACGGCCACTCACTGCTTTTGCTCCCCTGGGCAACCATTGCCATGAGAAATAGCTATATGAGGCCTTAATAACCGCATAAACATTTTCCTCTTTGCATTTGAGGTAAGATAGGTTTCTTATATCCATTTGGAACTTAACTCTAGCACTGCTGAGGTCCCATAGAAGTTGAGAGGAACGTTAGCTAGCAGAGTCATCAGAAACAGCAACAAGCTTATCCCCTACAAACGCTGTTTTTTCCTACTCCAGCATTTCCAATAAGCATGACTGGTTTCCCCTTTGCTAAGAGTAAATCAATAAAATATTTGAGATGTGCTGCCTCAGATGCGTGAACAAGGATTGCCTGACATTGTAAAGGAAAAAAAAAAATCGAACACTTGCACGACACAGTTTTAAAAGCAAACAGTAATTTCTGTTTCTCTTGATATATGGCTGGAACTGAATTCTAAGAAGGAATAAAATAGGATACACCTTTTCCTCATTCTCAAACATAATTACTAGTGCAAAATATTTTACTGGATTAGTTTTTATATTCGTAGTATTTCTGTGTGAAAATTTGTGCTCAATTTCTTTTAGTAGGAAGATTCTGAAATCAGGTTGTGGCTGATATGTGTTGGTTCCATTTCAGCTTTTACAGAACGCCAGTGTCACAAAACTGGTGGAGAAACAAAGGTTAGTGCAACAGGCAGTTTGTTTAATTTTTAAATTTGTATTTTATTTAATATTTGGCCTGGCTTTCAACATACCTAAAATTCTTTGGGCAAACAGTTGACCACAGGTTAGCTTTACTTATTCTGAACACACAAAACCTTCACTGCCTTATAAAACTTTCTTTTCCAGACTATTTTCCTGCTAAATTTTATCCTACAACAAAGACGACTTGTTACAGGACAGCTGATAACGGATAACATCTTTTGATCAGCAACTACATATTTCTATGTCTGTAACTTTCTATTTCTCCCAATAAAAATCCTACTCGTCTACTCTTTTAAAAAGGAAAAGGCCTAGAAACTAATGCAACCACACACTGTGAAGCATTTGAGAATCTTCTATATGAATCAGATTAAAAATCAACAAAACAATCAAACCCCCAAAATAAGGCAATTAATATTTAACTACTAGCTTATGCTTTCTACTCCTCCACTGAGAGGCATATACTTTAATTCTATGACAATTTTTACATCCCACAAATTTAATTCTAACTTTCTAGGTTTTATCACCTTTCCATTATGCTCTTGACCAAGTGATTTGCTGCCAATAGCTCTCACACATTTCTGTTAGCATGAAGAGAATTTAGTCGGTACAAGAATACCTGTGCAGCAAACTGGCAACAGAAAAATGTTAAGGCTTCAATTTTTGGTATATAGCTGCTGTGGACACTACTCCCAGTGCTCAAATCATTTAAAAGACTTGGAGACAGAATTTCTCCAACTATGGGAAAAGGTTTTATTCCACTAACAAATTGAATATGGATGCTCCTTACTATTTTAGTAATATAAAACTCTATAAAAGCCTTGTTTCGTCATCAAACCCCAAGCCACAGCTAAAGGCACACGGGCCAGACATAAAGTTTTATCCAAATATATCTGGAGAATGTTACTTTCAGGGCATCTAAGAAGGCATCAGAAATCTTGACAAAACCCCAAATGTTACTGCATCTAACAATACTCAGCACTGTGATCGCTGGCATGCATGTATTACACCTGTAAAGGGGCATCTGGGGCCACACCAAGGTACGGAACCTTATCAGTCCAGGGCATGAATTTCCTTGCCTTTGGATCAAGATAATAATCAAACACAGTGCCCTTAGATGGAAACTTCACTGCCTTTATCTTCTTAAGCCCCCAGTGGTTGAATTCAGCTTGGTAATTTGGAAGCTATAAAATGTTATGGTGCATTAATTGTTTATACTGTATTTCCATATTAAGAAACTCATATGAAGTGCAGATACAGATACCTACGAATAAGAGACTCAGAAATAAATCTTATTTTGAAATACATACACCTCTAGACTCCGATGAAATAATTAACAGCATCAAAGGAATATTTTATTATTAATATTGTTTAAGGGGTTAAAGGGCTCAAGCCTTTTTTGAAAAAAATCAGACCAAATATTTTTATTTCCTAAAATTTCTAAATTCAGTTTAAATTTATAGAGCTGTGAGACTGCAGGGATGACTCGCTCCAGACAAGACCTTCCTGAGTACCTCCACAGAACAGAAAGTCTTTTGGAAGGACAGGAAAACAGATGTTAAGGTGTCTTTTCTTCCAGAAAGATCTTCTCAGTCTTTTGATGCAATAAAGGGTTGGTTAAACTTAGGTAAATTGCTTCTTTACCTACAGATTATGTATGTGTGTATTTGTGCCCAGTTGACAAGGGCTTCATCTAATTTACACTGAAGTAAAGCAAATTGTATTCTTGTTAGTCTTTGAAAAGTAGGTATGACTAGATATTTGTCAAGAAATTAAGATCTATCTAATCAAATCACTGATAAGTGATTGCACAGTTTTAGAATTTTCTTTACCAAACCTTTTGCAGCATCACAACAAAACATATCACTAAGGGCAACACAGTCTAATGCCTTGATGATATCTACATTTCTCAGTATAAATCCAGCAGGAAGATTAATCATAAATCTGTCTAGCCCCTTTACCAGATGATTTAATTCTGGTAGGAGTGACCTTCAGATTACTTGCTGTTGCTTAGCCAGGGACTTAGGATAGATAAAAAGGTACAACTGGTAACACTTTCCAAAGTAAACATGGCTTCTCCATGCATGACGAATTAGTGTGCACAGAACAGAGCCTTGCACTGTAGGCAGTCTGCTCCTTCCAGTCGAGCTAGCTATCAGAGTTCATCTGTAAGTGAGCTAAAGCACACAGTACTACAGGCCCACAAATCAGATGCGTGGGCAACTGCTCTGCAGCCCCTATCAACATTAGTGGGTGGAACCTGCATTTAGCCATCTCTACTTTTGTATATAAAAATATATATAATGATCTATATACAAATATGTTTTTCAATATATGGTTTTCAAGCTCAGTGAGATAACGTGGCCATTTCCTCTAACTTGCCTTATCTTGAGAAAAAGCCCCACCAAATGTCCAAACACAAGCAAAGACAAAATACATCTCACAGAGCTCCAGAGGTACATTTTCAGGGGTCAGCAAACAATTCAACAGAGAACAGAGTGTCTCCCATGAATAAATAAGCAAAGAGAGAGTGACCTGTGAGTCCTACTCCCTGAGAAGGTGACAGCGACCTCAAGCAGCTATTTAAATATACACAGTGAGACTGCAACTCCTCGCTGTGTTCCTTATTGTCTAGGAGCTCCTCTCAGGAGGTCGGAAGCACAGATAGACATTACAATAAAATGCAATTCTACAAAAATGCCTCCACCCCACAGTATTTAAAGTGAGGTATATGAAGAAGACGACACAGTTCAGGCATGTACGTTATGGCCAAATTCTTAACACACAACTCAGTTATTTTTCCCCTCTCATATTCACTTATTTAGTGGTAAGGCAAACACTCAGAACCATTTAGAATGACTAGGCATATTAAGTGAAATTAAAATGCCAACATAAGGGTGTGCAGTATCAGATTGTTTAGGTATGAAAAACAGAGCTCAGCTCCATTCTTTGATAATGTTTAATAATTTATGGTATCATTATCAGAGTATGAGATTAACTAACACTAACGAGTTTAGTCAGTATTTCATTCTAGAGGCAAAATGCTTCTATAGAGATTAAATGGCTGGTCCTGAGCTATGAGAAATAATAACTGAAGCAAGACAAGAACTCAGAAGTCATGGGATTATGCCCAGAGCCGTAAACACCATTCTTCTTGCTGCAAGTGGACCTCTGTGATAGGACACCTCTGAATCCCTGAATGTGTCCAGGTTTGATATATTCACTAAATTTAATCTCATACCTGATAGAGTGACAGCAATTTTAAGTTTCTTCTCTTGTGTAGGGTCACATGCTCAGTCGGTGTTTCAGAAATAGTTTCCTAAAATATAAACAGTTCTAATCCTAATACATACCTGCACTATACTATTCTCAGGAATTGGAGTAACAGTTTTAAGGCTTATTCTAAGTAAAGAGGCATATATTTATCAAAGAGAATAGTCAAGTTAGCCTTTTCTGATTCATATCTCCTTGTTTCTATCCAGCAGGCAACATACCCACAAAACAAACTGGAAAGCATCCAAGTTTTTGGAGGCAGAAGAAAAGAAAAAATTCATTCCCTCTGGCTCTGGGAAACAGATTGGTTTTGTTGACTTTAGAGAACTGCTTGTAACTGCCTTCGGTGCAATGCACACCCAGTGCAGTAGTATTTGTAAACCACACTTAAGTGCTGCTAATCTTGCAACATTTTTATTTGTTCATATAAAGGTCATTATGTTGCTGTATTCTTAAGAGCTATTATGTCAGCCAAGTACACTGGCATATGGCTACGTTCCCTTTCTTTGACTGCATCTTTTTTTCTAGGGAGGGCAGGAGAAAGGTCCTCCGTGATAGTTTGCTTCTGCTTACAGCTTGCTGAGCCACCAGGAAGCAGGTTGCAGCGAGGATCCTAGATTTACTTTGTGTTCTTCTAGAATAGGCCATTTAAAACACCAATGTGCAAGCGGTACACAAAATTCAGGACTAGGAACACCCAAGTTCAACATTATTTGAATTATACAGACTTTTACCTGAAAAATATGACTGTATTTAACTGAAGACAACTGTAACAAAAACCTTCTTCATCTGCTAGTTCCTATCACAACCAAGATCTACAACTCCTTATCATTACGGTAACAATAATAAATGCTTAAGGTTAGAATAGACACGTGTATCTATATTCTTAAGCATTGGACAATTTTATCCTCTGCTTGTGCTCACATAGTATTAGTTAAATGCTGTTTAAAATGTTTATTTACTCGATCACAGCTATTCTGTTTGGACAGTTGCCTACTGTTTGTTTTGTTTATTTGCTCTGAGAGATCATATTGCCTCTCTCTGTCCACATCAGCCCTCTCTGATCCTCATCTCCCCAGCTGGGCAGCTTGTACAGCCTCAAGCTGTTTAATTAAGTTCTCCTTCTGACAAGATTTCTCTGGGAAATGTTTGCACTGAAGGCTTTCAACTTAGCTTATTCCAACACCATTCTACTCTAACATAGATAGCTAGAAGTGACTGAAATGCTGATGGCATATTGGAGTGCTGAAAAAATTGAATTTTGATATCAAACATCAGCAATGCTGCTTGGAAATAAAAACACTGATTGACAAATGTTAAAAAGATTAACTTTTTAGACAAATTTGTAAGAACTGTTTTGGATCAGCTCAACGAATACAAAAGGAAAAGATCACCTTAGCCTGCTTCAAAAATCACATGTTGCACTTTGACCAAATTCCCTATTTTTATACTACCATAGAAAAGAAATAGAAACACAGGCCATTCATAAACTCCCATGTCCTTAACAGTATCAGAGATAAGTTAGTTATAAATAGATGGCAACACTGAAGGATAACACTCGCCAAACTATTCACTTCACTGCTTAAGATATTGGTTTTGCTGCTGCCAAATTTGCATTATAAAGAATGGACAGTCAGTTCACTACTGCCCTGTCTGAGCAGTCTGGATAAGAGGCAAATATAAAACACTTAACTGATACTGTAATCTTCCAAATTGTGTATTTGACAACGTACAGAACCATCAACTAAATCATCCCACTATTACCACAGTAAAAACTAGAAGGAGAAATTATTATAAATAATGGAGTCTACTGCCATTAAACAAATTAATCTTCAAGATGCTTCTTAAAAATGTTAATTAATATTGTTAAATACTCATGGATTCCACCCGAGGTCCTGGACGTTCAGAGAGCGAATACAGGCTCTGGACACTGTAGCTGGAGTAGCAGTTTTTAAAACAGTGTACCTCAAACAGCAGCCGCACTGATGGAGTCACAGGCACACCTTCATTCAGTGAGAGTCAGAACCTAGAAACCATCAGTAAAGCACTGCTCAGGAGCAAATTAAGATACATACTCTAGTTGGAATACAATTCAGAGAAAGCCTGTGTTTACTGTGGCCCACAAAGGAATGAAGATTATCTGCAACACTGCGTGAACACAGACACACACACTTCCTTGAATTTAGCTGAACATGAACTCTGTTATAGTTTTTACTTCAAAAACACAGGGAAGGACAAAATTATGAAGTTGTATTTGATCTTGTGAGATTTTTTTCAGTTTAATTCATTGGAAAGACTAGCCTGCATCACCAACAGGGGTATTCCTGAAGGCAAATTTTAGTCAGGGTATGCTAAGTTTTTCTCAGAGAAAAGGGAAAGAAATACAGAACAATTCGGAGCAGGATCCTAAATATAGGTGCTCTGAATGTCCCTTAGAAAAGCCTTCTTCTCTTCATTAGCTCAGGTTGGACTATGTGCATAGCCCCTCCACAGGCACCTTTCCGAGTAGCCTGAGAACATGTTACTGCATTTGATCGGTGGAAGTGCTTAAAAGAGGAAAGCTTAACAGTAAGGGCTAAACTACAATAATCTTTCTGAAGTTACATTCAGATTTTAGATTTGAATTTCATTATGTTACAGCATTTCAGACAGCCAACAAAACTGGTTTATTTGTATAACTGAAGTAACTGTACAATTAAAAGGTTAAGAATAAGAAGTTTGGGTATTACTACTAGTTTTCAAACTGCCTTATATTTAGATTCCCCAATACTAGTCTTCCTTGCTGCAGTAATATAAAGACTTAATTCAGGGAATCTTACGTCTGATTGACTGAAAGTAATTCAAAATGCTAGCTTCAATAATCTTATGATTGAAATCATCAACTTGTACACTAGGAGGCACAATCACCCTTACAGTATATGCAAAATGACTTCAAGCTTTGCTGTGGTATAAAACAGGCAAGAGATAATGTGTTACTCAGATATCAAAATATTATTTTGCAATAATGAAAACTAAAGAAATGGAAGGAATGAGAGAAAAAAAGAACTCTCATAAAAAAAACTTACAAACAAAAAAAAAAGAAAGTAGGGTGGAAATGTGAAAATTGGTAGAGGGGAAGCCTGTAGGCTTCCTATTTACTTCGCTTATTATCGTCCGTAACAGTGTTGAGTGACTCAATGCACACAGGATCTCTATCATCATCTAAAACTAACTATTTTGACCCATCTTGGGTAATATTAGCTTGCTCTCTTAGAAGAAATGACAAGAGAATTTTAAATGATATTTCAGTAAAGTCCCATCACTTTAGCGCTTAAGTAATATACTCTACAGCAATTAAAACTTCAGAAGTCTTACTGCATCACTGAAACAAGAAACAGCTTTTGTTGTATATTTAAAACCATGTTTGTCTTTTGCTTGCTTATTAGATGGTTATTCAAATTAAAATCATAAGTATTTTCAGTTAACTTTTGACAGAGCAAAATAATCGCATTTTATTTTATAATGACCTATCTCTCTTTTAGCTGTGTGGGAGTTTGTCATTAGTCTTAATGATATGAGTGAGAAATGGGAGGTTTCACGGTTCCATGGAAAAAACTCTTCCCGACTCAAAGGCAGCTGAATCGGCACTACTCAGGCTAGCACCTTTCTATCTTCTAGCACCCTGTTCTGCCTCTAGTCTTTCCGTAACCATCAGTACTCTGTACCCACATCTTATTGCAAAACACAGCAAAACACCTTCTCCAAGTTCTGGCACTGTCTATTTCTGACAGAAAAATATATCTCCAGGAACAGATCTTAGTTAGAAGAACATCTGCACTACTTGCCATCTTTCCATTCTTGGCTTGAGTGATGTATAAAATCAAACCCTTCATCAGTTATCAGAGCTTTTGGGTTAAGGTCATTCCAAACAGCCTTTTATTTCATGTTCAAGTACGTGTGATGCAGAATTTTCGGAACCTAAAGAGCAGGGACAGCATGCATGTTAGGGACATGATCTTGATACAGTCTTTTGGCTTTCTTTCTGAGCTGGGTCTCAGACTGCAGACCCTCACCCTCAGCCAACTGTTCATCTTTATTCACTCATGCCTCCCTGCTACTTTAGCCACAGATTTCCATTAAGTCTATGGGAACCACGAGGAAGAATCTCATTCTGACCTAGCTGCACTCTCTAGTCTACCTTCTCTGATAGAAAAGGTTGAACGTGAAGAAAAGCCACACGCTGCCAACGCTTAGTAGCCAAACTGGAAAATCATTGTCTATTAAAAATACGTATGTATTGTTTGGCAGTATATTCCACTGTTTCTGTCTAGAAGCCTGATTAAACCATCCTGCTTTGCCTTCCAGAAAAAAGTCTCATTCAGTCTATCTGTCAAATAGAACGTTGATTATTCGGTGCATTAATCTCACCTTGGTACATGCAAACAACATATAAAATCAGAATTCGCTTGTAACATTTGAGGTCTGGAAGTGCACGTGATGTGCCTGATTGGATGGCCTGAACAGTATGCAATTATACTGCAAATTAAAGGTAACATACCACACACACACTGTTTTTGGTGAGAACCAGGGCAATTTCTTTCCAATGCAAGACAGAATACACACTATGTTGGTAGGCACCTTACTTTTTCTGGTCCCTGCATTTCCAGCAGCAAACACAGAGTGACACACTGCCAGCAGCTCCTCCAGCTGAACAGCCTACCACACAGAAGGGACACATAGTGAGCACACTTGCTCTCCTGTTGTTCCCTTACTACAGAGACGCAGGTATTCACAAAAATCACTTCTTTCATGCCTTCTTATTCCCTTTAACAGGAAAAATGAACTGATAACTTTTCAGCTGACTTGCTTCAGCTGACTTCATGTTGCATCAAGCAACATTATTTGTCTCCCAGAAACTCAAAGAGAATTGGCTTATTTTAACAAATGCAGTTACCTCAAGAAGCGATAATAAGTCTTATCATTCTGCCGGCCATATGCTCCAGTTGGATTGTGCCAACCCAGGGGTATAGAAGGGTTATCACATTTTTTTGCCATGCCAGGATGACTTTAGCAAGAGTAAACTCTATAATTAGAACAGTTGTGCAGTCATAATTTGGTAAAATACAAAATCAGTTCACTAATATATACAGTACAAGGAACACTAAAGAAATACATTTCTTTCAAAGAAATAGCTCTGTGAGCAGCAGAACGGAAGGAACTCAGCTCCTTATGGATTTGTGTCTTAATGAAGAACATTCACATTGACTTTCTACACTCTAATAAGAATGAGTTCATGTTCCTCAGTGGTCGTCTTCTGATTCACTCAGTTAACGGGAATCAAAATGCTCTACAGAAGGCTGATTGGACAGCTGATATTCCTGCAAGGTATAGCTTATTGTCTTTCACTCTTTTGTCAGGATAAAGGAACAAGACAGAGCAGAAAGTCCTTTAAAAGTCCTGGAAACAGCCACATTTAACCAGTTATTTCAATTTCCAATAAAGCTTAATAAAGGAAAGCAGTATACTACCTCAAACAGCAGATGTGGATGTCCTCTGAAGGAAGATGGCAATACACTTTCATAGTAGCCCAAATAAGCACACTTTTTATTTGCTTCATATACCAACCAATGTTCCAATAGCTCTACATTTCACTTTTTCACCTTCTCTATAATTCAAACTAAAATTAGCGTCCAATTTTAGCTTATAGAAAACTAATCTTCATAAGTGTGCGTTCATCCACACATGCATGTTTTTATGTGTTTAGCACATTCATTATGCATTATACAGAAATACCAGAAAGCAAAAAAGCATACATAACCAGGCACATTAAAAATCTATTCCTTCCTATTTTTATAATGTGTTTGCTCCCTTACTCCTTCTTCTTCCCTATGAATAATCACTAGTAATTACTATGCTACCGAGTACCAAGGCTTCATACTGTACACTAAGAAATGTATTTGTCAAGGAAGATAATTTTTTTTTTTTAAACAGGATACCTTTCCTCATGGGTATATTCATTCTACTGAGCCACATTACTGCCATGATAAAACGCCTTTGAAATTATTGCCATGATAAAATGCCTTCAAACTACTGAGACTTTGAGGATGCCTTATCAGTACTATACTGTACTGAATCAGTACACAACTCATTTGCAATTATTTTGATTGAAACTCTTAAAGGGAGCAATTAGAAGCAATGAATTCTTTTACTTTGAGAATAAAGCTCTCTTCAGGCTGCAAGCGAAGCACTAGGGGAGACTGTTTAACCATCTGTTCAAATTGCAGGTCCCTCTTCCTCAGAGCATCCAGAGTTGGAAACAGATCACTGATCAGGCCCATGACAACTGGGATATCATCTGTCACTATTTTAGGCAAACTGTAGTCTCTTAAGGCTCGCATAGGTACCTGAAAAAGGCTGGTAAACACATACTGTCAGAGTGTAAAAATCTTTCTCTTTTTAGGGTTCTGTTTTTATTCAAAGACAAAACACCAGAAGCAGTTCCTTCTCTTGCATGCTTTTAAATGAAGATTTTACCTGATCCTCAGGTCTGTTCTCGTTCATTTCAGTGAGCCAGCAACTACCAAAACTGACTTGATAGCATGAAATCCCCAGTCACAGTGGTTCTATGAAAATGCCTTAACTAGTCATGTTAGCATAGGAAATTAAACTAAATGGTAATGTTTAAGAACAACAACTTTGGTTTACACAGAGCAAAATGACATCTTTTTATTCGCTATTTACGTTGTGGTCTTGCAATGCTTTTAGGTCAGTGTTGAAAGTGTAGTAAAACAAAAGCGTACAAGGGCGAAATGTGTACAGCTAGTTAGTTTTTAATATTCCACCATTTTGCTCCCTATCGCTATATAACAAAATTTGTACAGAAGATAAAAAGTCCAGGAGGATACCGTGAGAATAATCAATGTGGTTGATTTTATGAATGAATGTTTGGACCCATTTTGGCCTTTTTCTTCTGGTAACAGTCTCAAACAGCAGTAGATACTATTTGCAAACATAAAATGCTGACTCTTCTGAGGAAACAGGTTTCAGCAGCAGGCCACGTGTCGTTCATCCAGCACGGGAGAAGGATGTAACATGCCTGTTCCCTCTTCTCTCAGGCTGAGAATTTAACAGGCTTAAGTTTGAGAAGTCAGAGTGCACTCCAAAAAGTTCAATAGCTCCTTACTCCTTAGGTTCTGCTCACTTCTAAATCTTTTACTTTTCCATCACAAGGGTAGGTTGTGGGGAAGGAATTATCAAGAGGAGACCTCAATCAGCAAAGACTAAGTTTTCCTGGGGAGATGGCCTTTCTAGTTATTCTCAGCACCAACACCCACATCTTGCATTTAAGTAAATCCTCCTACCTCTTCTACAATGCTTTCAAGTCTTTGTATTCAGCACAACTATGTCTCCATGATTAATCAAGGCAAGCAAAAAAAATTGCTGCCAAACTTCTACTAATTTGACCTGATGTTAGCAATACCTTTCTGTTCCCAAATGAGAAGTTTGGGTAGATTAGCAGCATCTTTGGAAATCAGCTTTATCACTAAAGCTAAAGAGCGACAGGTAGTATTCAGCCTAGAGGAAAAACCTAGAAAAATCTGAGAATGGAAGGACATAGATGAAGCCTATATCCTCCCCTAAGTCCTTATAATGGGAAGGCAGATATCTGATGTAGAAGGTGCAACTATTTCTTTTTCATCACACAAATGCTTTTCAATCCCTTTTCCTCCTTTTTCCAGGGCTATGTAACATTGACCTCTTTCACTCTCCTAAATACTACAGAAGTAGAAAGAGAACGAGTCTGAAGTATTTGGGAGCACATTTGGGAACATGCAGATAGTTCGAATAACAGCACCTTATATGATTGAAGGGAATACCCTTTACTGAATTTAGTGTTATGCTAGTTTAAGTAATAGCTAATTTTACAATGGCTCAAAGTGTTTACCGTGAACTTGTGGCTCTCTAAGGCTATGCCTACACTTCACCTAAAGGTGTTCTTGCAGTTCACACAGAGATCTCAGATGGTTATTTCTGGTACAACTAACAGTGAGACCATGGCAACATAGAGCTCAGTGCAAGCTGCAAAAGCCACTGGAAAAGTAGCTGGGTAGATATTTGGATGATCACCTTCTCTGAGCTCTGTGTGGCTGCAGCCAAAGGCTACAGAGCCACCATCTATTCATATTAGCATAAATCACACCAGTCACGGTGGTCTACAGTTTCCTTAATGGACACACTACCTCTCTCTCGATTTCAAAAATCTGCCTGCGCTTGCAGCTGCCCTGCTGTCAGTACCCAAGCTAGCTACCAGTATGTATGTGAACATAAACTGTAGTCTTTGACTTCAACACAAATACAGCTCAATTTGTATTATTAAGTAAAAGGGGGGGGGGAACAACTGCTAGCAGAATCACAACGTAATGATACATAGTTCTTAAGAACCTAGATGTCACTACCATGGAAGATAACTATGAATCAAGTATACAAAATACACTATATAGATAAGAAAAAATAAAAAGCAACTTACAACTTCCAGACACTTCATCATCAGCAAGGAAAACAACTTTTCTTTCTGAAATACCAAAGATGCTGAGTATCAGCAATGAAAATGATTCTCCACGTTTTACAAAATAATATACCTAGGCAAACAAGTTAAACACGGAGCTGGTTATGAAAGCAGAAAGTTTATGAATATCCTAGGTTTTAGAAGCTTTCTTTAGATTTAGGTTAAGATTTTTGCAAATTCTTGTTTGGTCTGCTGCCTAGTGGGTTGTTTAAAAGGAAGCTATGCATCTTTACAGTAGTCTACCTACAGGGAAGAAATGATACATCTTCTCAGCCTTAAAAAGTATAGATTTTAAAGATAATATTTTGAATATGGATTCTTCCTAGTAGAATAATTGACTTATTCAGCAATGATATATTTCCATTTTTCAAACTAAGCTGTACTATATCTACTGGGTAATGTTTATATAAACATTCATCCAAATGGAACACATTATTTATGATTCGTAATAACTCCTACCGAGCTTTAAGGTTTTTCTTCTCTCTAACAAATAGCATTATTTCTAAGATAGATACCATGCAACACCACAATTTAGTTTGGCCATCCCAGGTACTAAGTAGTGTTGTAGAATTGTTTATTGCAAAATTAATGCGTTGAAGTGTCCCAAGATCAGAGAAAAGGGCACTTTCTTCTGAACTCATGCATGATGACATAATGAGTGTGGACTTAAGGTGTCTTAAAAATAAAAAATAAGACTATATATATAAAAAAATTATTATACGATGTCCAGCTGTACAATTTCCAAGTGAATACATGTTAATTACCCTGTATCAAGACCAAGAGCCCCAAAAGACCCTCACCTGCTTAGAAACCAGATCCCTCCAGAGAGTATACAAGGTAATAAACTTCCTGGCTAACAAGTGCGTATCAGTAAACCCTTCAGCAACCAATGTAACTTCACAGATCAGTTCAATGTCAGGGACAACCATGGTACAGTCTCTAAGGAAGAAAACAAACCCCATAATCCAAATACACAGATTAGTATTTAAGCATGGTAAGAACAAGTCACTTAAATCAAGTGACTGATGTATGCAAACATTTTTAAAATAGAGCTCAAGAGAGTTACAATTAAGAGTGTCAGTCAAAGCTAACAAGGACCTTACTTCAAAGTAAAAACAGCTAATTAGGCTCTGTTGATTGTCAGTATTCAGTAACATTGGTGTATAGAAAGGAGGCAGCTGAGAAGTGCAGGGCTAGCAAGACAGGTACTACAGAAACTTAGTGCACACACAGTCTGTAGAGGTGTCATTTGCCATGGATGACTGAAAGACATTGCCAGCAGCTGTACAAGGTCTGGAAGTGCAACACCCTGCCATTGCTAAAATAGCCATCATTTTTATTTGCCATTTTTAAAAGGATGTTAATTTTTGGAGGATTTTAATACTCTTTATTTTTTTCCTTTGGAGGTCTAATTTGTTTGTTTTTACATTCAGCTTTCAGTTCAAACGTTTAAAACAAAAACATAGTCATTTTAATGATATAAATGAGAAAAATGCTCAACAAGAAGTAGTACAAGGAGATAATGCAAGGACTTAAGTTCCTCATTAAATCACTATTTAAATTATGTAATAGCAGAGAAGAGATCTTGGATTTTGTCTTCAGGTCAGTTATAAATACGGTTCTCGTGGAGCACTTTTCTTACTACCGGCAAATGCAAAGATTTCTTTTGTTCCCACTCACATCAGAGCTTGACAAAATTTAGACTAGTGTTTTGGTCCATCAGTTCATCTCTGACAGGAGTCAATAACATATAATCTAGAAAAAGAGTAAGCAACCCTCTATAAAAGAATTTGAAGTAAACTATTCCGTAAAAAACTTTCTTCATATGCCCAAACATACGCTATATGCTGCCATATGCATTATAGTCCATCACAAAAAAATGATACGCTCTTCTGCCTACTACAACCCATACCCTACTGGCAACCAGAATAATTGCTTGCATGAGAAATAATATTATGCTAGTAGTATTTAATATATCCTCTCCCTCCTGAGATTTTATTAGTAACTATATGAGGAGTTAATGCGTTACCAGTTTCTCCCCACCTTTCCTGTGCCTTGTACAACAGGTAAGAGCTATTACAGACATCAACTACTGAGCTGAATTCCTGAGTCTCATATGCAGCAGATCATGCTTTAATTCCAAAGGCTTTCATTTTATGCGACAGCCAAGAGGTAAAGATAACACTCTAGCTCTCTGCAGCAAATTTCAAATTTCTCTGCTGAAATTTCAAAAAACCCTAACAAAAACAAAGAAAACCTTAACAAAAAGCATCACAAAATGAAGCAATAATTCCATTATTTAACAGTCTATATGCTTGAGTGAAATGATTGCTAATTAATATTATTTCATACTCCCTACTCTTTTTTTCTCCCCAGAGGGGAAAAAAACTGCAGACATTTTCCATCCTCTGGTAGTCTACTGTTAGAAGAAACATCTAGTAGCAATAGAGACTGATCCCTCCTGGTCTCCTGTCAAATACTGCAGCCAGCCGATCTGAGGAAGAAGACTGTCCAAAGGTCGAAAGGAGGCAGCTACACCACACAGACACACAGCGCGAGGGTGGCTGGTGTCCTCACAACTCTGTACTCTCTTGAGTGAGGCTCTGAAGCCGGGGGCTGCCCAAACATCATTTCCTTCATACAACACAATCCTGCTTTTGCCTGGAAGAGTTCTCAGGTGGTAATTAATGAGAAGGCTTTATTAAAGCATCAGGGTAGGTTGTCAAACATTAGAGAAAAGTGAGGGGAAGAAGGGATACATCTTCCACTGTCTCCCTCCAACACTGCCAAGATCCAACTAATTATAACTGGTCTTAATCTGAGTGCCCTGGCAAAGCTACATGCCAGGTGAGTCCTTCAGAAATCCAGTTACAGCTACGTCCGTGTTGCTGCTCCTGGCACAGGTGTGGAAGGATCCAGTGATTCCCCCAAGATTTCAGACACCGTCTTTAACTAAAGATCATTTGGATCAGGAAGACTTCTCCCCAGCAAAGGAATAAAGAACATTGCCAAAATAAGCACCCTGTTGTTTGGAATAGTGCTTTCCTGACTGCTTTGCCCCATCATGTGTGGGGTAAAGGCAGAACTAATGGAAACCTTCAGCACTCTTTGCAGAGAGTTTTACATGAATTAAAATCCTAATGTTCTTCTTGTAAAGAGCACTTGTGGCACTTACTGCTTGCCACAAGTGATTGTATTTTAGGCTCAAAGAACAAGAGAGCTAATAGCTACTGCTGCCCAGCCCTGCCATCTGAGGCAGGGTGTCTGATTGCCAAGAGGATGAGGTGTGCCTGAGCAAACGGCTTTCTAATTTAAAAGACTTGTGTCTTTCCGCAGTGAAAACGTGAAGGAGTGTGGTGTTAGAAATTCCTTGGCTAAAGCAGAAATAAGAAAAATACCAAAACCTTGCTTTTTAAAAAAATCCTTATGGAAGAAAGTAGTGTTTTGTTTCAGTTTGCTCACAGAAGCAAAACCATGAGGCCGAATTCTGCCATAAACTTCTATCCTAGAATTCAGCCAGAGGGATTTACTGCTCAGAAAAGCACATCCTTGTACTTTTACTCCCAGATTTGTACTCCCAAGTCTGTACTTCTGCTTCCCCAGACAGCCTGACAATGCCCTGCAGCTTGCCCCATTGAACCTCAGTATGTTGAGAAATAAAATCACAGAATCATTTTTTCTCAAGTCAGTGGAAACCAGCAAAAACTGTTACTGCAAGAGTAAAGAATTCAGATGACATTTTTAAAGCAGTCTCTGCATCTTTTAAGTCAACGAACATTACCAAATAGTTCTAAGTGCAGCTCCAACTGGAATAAATGGGCACCATTTTACTGCCCATCAGGCAGCAGCAGCTTCCTATGGAGGTTAATTTACTCTCGGAACATGATTTTGATATGAACTTTTTGAGTGCAGCATGCAAAATACAGTCAGACTTTGCACTTTTTAAATTCAGAACTTTGTTCCTTGAAAGACTGGTGTTAAGATGCAAAGCATAAATATGTACTTTAAGAAAAAGATAGTGGGCTGTCCTACAGTGTCCAAAAGCACCTGAAGTTATTTGCAGTGCATTATATTTTTCACAGCTTCTCATCAATCACATATCCAATAACTTATTAGATAAGAGTAGGGCTTCATTTTCAATTGAGAGTTATGAAATAGCCATGCATGCCTACGCCTATGAAATAATGTGACAGCTTCACGCTTAAATAGATGGTTAATTTACTAGGTTAACCTAGCTGTGAGGATTCCTATCTATTCCAGTCACAAGATAATCAATATTCTTGCACATGCATAGACACATTCCATGTATTCACAGGTATCTTTACAAATTATATGTAGACACAAAGAAAACAAAAGCAAGATATACATTTAATTCTCTTGTCATTATATTGTATAGGCAGAAACAACATGAATACTGAATCTTTTCATAGAAACTCTGAAGCAAACACAAATTGCCCTTTACTGTGAACCAAGGCTAGTGGCATTAGGTGACAGGTGTGCTGTACTCAAAACACTAACCTATCGTCTACTCACCCGAAAAGCGCTTTGAGATTTTCAGGTAGTTCTGTCCAACCTGCATATCCTGGGTTCGCAGTAGTAAATATTCCAGCTGATGATTTCAATGTACTGTTTTCACCAAGGAATAAAAATCTGTCTTAACAATAATAAGATTATACATACTTATGAAAATGCTACAGTGAGGTTAGATGTAAGCAACTGCATAATATAAAGCCAGTCATCTTGGGTCAGATTACAAAGGTCCATCTGGCCTTGGACCCCATCTCCCACAGCGGCACGAATCAATTCCTAGGAAAGCTTATGAGGGCTCAGCAAACATATAGTGCCATTTCACTGGTAGGCATCAGCTTCTGGTGAACCGTGGCTCCACTAGTCAACACTGAATTTGGAAGGAAAGAATTGGACGGTTAGGGCAAAGAGCGTGTGGTTGAAGTACGTGTGTCACAGGAATCAACTTTTAAATATGTAGAATAAACGCAAAGAACAGGAGACAGAGAACATAAAATTCTGATGGTTGCTTGTCTGAGGCAAATATAATGGTGATAGGTCAGTTCCTCACTTGGTACAGAACAAAGATTCCTAGACAACACAGCTGCCATCATTGAAGGTGAAATGAAGTGTGGAGCACAACTCCATAAATTCTGCTGAGCCAACCAATACAACAGCGCTGGGACTGATAGGGATGAGGTGGGCTTGAAGAGGGCAGGAGACAGTATCAGGTAAAGGGAGCAGAGGAAAGAGAACATGGTACAGTGGAAACGCAAAGCCTATCTCGGAAACACTGGGAAACCCTGGATCCCTACCCCACCCTCCCACCCCAAGACTTCTTGCAAAAATGAACCCCACCAATGTTCTAACCCATACGATGCAATCATTTCACAGAGGGTGACTTCAACAGCAAAGCTTTAACTGGGTTTCTATAGGGCCATGAACGTATCCACACTTATTGTTATGTTTGAAGAGAAAGTTACTTCAATTTAGGTATACACAGGAATTTTAATGCTACCCCTCCGCTCCCTCACTGATTTATACAGGATTTCAAAAGAATTTTGGAAGAAGATTTTTATTGGTCTGTGAAGGACGATAAAGAAGCAGTGCTAAAATACTCGCTTCTTTTTCTTGTTTCTACTCATATCGTGCACAGTCTTTACTTGCACTGCCACCACTGACACAACTTCTGAGATGAGACTGAATTCATCAAAGCATCCCCAAGCTCCTATGTGGACCAAACCTTTATAGATATTCCTTACAGACTAAAACCAAAAGTGAAAGATTTCAATTTTTCTCCTGAAAGCAAAGATTTCCAACAGACTTTATACGAAAAAAAACACAAACAGTTTCTATACTTTTTAAATGAACATCACACCTTGTAATCTGTCTGCTCAGAACAGCTGAAAACGTATCCCATCACACAAAGGGCATGGCCCAGATCTTTGGTGATTTCCATTTTACCTGTGCCAGCTGGTCCTCCAGGAGCACCACTCATTGTTAGGTGAAGAGATTGGGTTAGAATAATATAACACCTTAACATCACAAAAATTGCTAGCATTGCAAGGAACATTATAATGTCAGGGTTTTTTTTGTAAAAAAAGAAAAACCTTATGTTTCGTGGGTGATTTATTTTGAATCCACTTTCTCATTATATTTTAATGAACTAAGCAGTAAACATACATCTTTCACTCATATAAAATTATGATGTGGCCCTACTCAGAAAATGTCTATTTTAGATATGAAAACCATCCACATCAACACTTTTCATTTTTTTAAGGAGTTAAATATCCCATCGGTGGTCACACAGGACATGGAACACAAAACTCTCGTTGCTGCTTTGCCTAATTCAAAAGCTTCAGCCTCAGAACTCTCCCTCCCAACTGAGAGCCATAAACACTGAGCCAGCAACGACTGCTGGATGCATCTCTCCATCCTGGAGCCAAAACATTTCCAGAAAAAGCTTCATTGCAAGTGGTATGAAAAAAGTACTGGCTTAGACTTTTACATAAAAGAAATTCTGAAAAACTCTCAGTTAACCTTGGTACAGATCCACTCATATTCTTCAGATTAGACAGTGACTATCCAAGCTAAGTAAATGTAAGAAATATTTCATTTCAGTTAATTTACAAATAAATGGGCATTAAGATCATACCATTACTCAGGTACGCACATCTACATGCACAGCTATGCTCAAAAGATACTGTATTTGTCTCAAAAACAGATTTAAGAAAACTTTATAAAATATACTTGATGTATGAAAGAACAATGAACTTCTAAAAAACATTTGACTTTGTATTTGCTAAAACAGATCAAGCAGACATTGTTATCAGTAACAGGCATTACTTGTCAGTCAAAGGTGTAATAACTAGTCGAGGGGTATTTCTCAAGTACTCCATAAAAGTACTGGAACTGAACATCGCAAATGCTGGCAAAACAGTATTCTGGGCTTTATCCCATCTGTGGCGTAGCTGTGACAACCAAGCAAAAGCTTGGGAATTGGTGACCTAAAAAGACATTGCAGAGCCATTATGCCACGTAGGAGCTATTCATACGAAACGAGACGCATCATAATGCTTCAACTGTTATCAGTAGCTCTCATACCTCACTCCTAGCCATTTATGAATAATAACTACTACAATCAATTATAAAGGATTTGATTCATATCTAGGCATTGTGCATTATATAGAAGCAAATGTAATATAAGACCTTTTTAATAGAGCTGTTACTGCAGAACTCATTGTGACTTACTGAGCCAATACCTCTCCTTACAAACAATACAGTCTTTGCAGGTGAGCAGACATCACTTTTGCCAGAATAAGTTTCGTTTTACTTCTCAAGCCTTGTTTCTCATGATCCGAAAGCCACCTTAGAAACCCATTTTATTTCATTTCCCCGCTCCCAAATCCATGCATTTTTAATGCTTTCTTTTAAATAGTAGCCACTGGAGCATCAGAAGGTGTAAGCTGTAACACTAGTCTACGTTATGTGACTAGGCCACGAGAACACTACTCGAACTTCTATGCATCATACCTCATTTTAAATATCATTTGCAATAAATCCTAAGTAAATAGCGTCTCTCATCCTGTAATGAAACTTGCTAAAGAAACACTGGAGGGAGTCATCATGCCTCCATGTTTAGAAGGAAGAGTATTCTAAAGAAATCAGAGGCCCAGGAGGTCAGAAGGAAAATGAGAATTCTTTCCCATTTCAATCCCCGTCCAGTGGAAGTTTTGGTGTACTCAAAGCAGTGATGTGTCTGACACCTTAGTTTAGCTGAACAAAGTTATAGAGAGAGCGCGCACTTTGGTTTATATAAACACTTGTTAATGAAATGCACTTATACAGATTCAGCATAGAAGAGTGCCTTGCACCAGAGATAAGCATATATGCCTCTAAGGGGAGAATAAAACACACTATGAACAATTGGAGATGGAATAATTAAAGATAGACTAATTAAAGACATTTAAAAAAAACCCCTCAGAATGCCCAAGAATATCCTCTGCTCAGTTTTGTGATCTGAAATTTAAAGGAATCATCTTGCTGTTCACAGAGAACCTGCTAAAAGTTTGAAGGATTCCCAGAAGTGGGATAAAAGATGACACCTGACTCTCTCCTTCAAACTAATTTCTGATTTGGACAGAAGTGACCCACAAGAGTGCAGGCATGGCAAAAAAGTTTGAGAACACGGCTCTGATGCGGGCTGTCCTCATGACTATAACTATTCCACCTCTGCTTTTCCACACACAGATCCAGGCCCAAGTTTAGCTCAAGTAATATTAATTCTTTTTGAAACCCCTAAAATTGCATGTGTAAAATACAGTAGATCCAAAGCCCACCTTCTGAGCAACAAGACTTGCTACCACTTGAACATCCATAGTGCAAATACTCATGATCTTCTGTCACACCTTGTTCTCCAAGCAACAGGGCAATAAGAGCATTTAGTTGTGCGACCTAAAAAGATTTAAATAATCCTCTTAGAACACAGGAATTCCACTACCATTTAGCACCGTTGCTGAAAGTTTCTAGTTGCTACTAGAAATCAGTTCTGCCTACATAATGAATTATCACACAAACTAGCTCCTATGTGCAATTTACTAATATTAATCCTGAGAAGCCATAATAAATCCTGCTCAAATTCTATGCTTGAACCATCACCAAAACAACGATAATCCAGAGGAGGACTACAAATACTGAAGATGATCAAGTAGGTAGGGGAGGAAGAACGGGATTAAAATTTTTGATAAGGAGATTTCCATGAAGTTGAATTGTAAATTTTGTGGTTACCATCTGCATATGCATCAGACTGAAAAAATTGGTGTCCTAATTGCTTGAGAACATTTGTTGTACAAAGCGTTTGAAAATACACCTTAGATGAGTTCAGTGACTTCAAAAACAGGTAAGGCAATTAAGGTAAGGGTTGAAAAATGTGATATGAATTATTATGCTTGGAGTTGAGACAGTAGAGATATCTTATGGAACTTTTTTAGGTTGCATAATAATAGAAAAGAAAAATGCACATAGCTACTGCATGTAATTCTAAGGAGGCAAATATAATCCTAACAGAAAGGTATTCTATTGGGTAGCTAGTGTGAGATAGAACTACGCCTTTAGGTTTTAAAATCAGCTAAAAAATGCATAGGTGAATTAAAGACACCTCAAATACTACCCTTTCTATATTATTTTTATTATTCAATACACATACGGGCTTACTGGTGCTGTTTTTACGGAGATGGAACTTAAGGCCCAGAGCGTATTACTGCACACAAACAAGTTACCTGAGAATCACAGTCCAACTCCTAATTGATTTTTAAAATGCTTAAAAAAATAAAACCAGCAAGTAATTTCATTGAGCTTCTTATGCCTCCGTATCATATCATCATGGATGTAAAGGATATTTCAATAGCAAAATTCTGAATGGAGTTGTCTAACATCCCAGAATATTTCTGGCACCTTCCTTTAAACAAATCAAAGCTCCACTTCTTTGTGATGACAGTGGGCTGTCATATGCACTTTTCTTGCCTAGTTGACTGTAGCAGAACCAGCAGAGCCAGTCCAAAAGTCCCCAGTACAGATTGTCCAGTCAGGAAGCGGTCACAACACGAACCAGTAGTGAGCTGTACTTGCTAAAGGACCATAAAAATATAGCCTTATTGGAACAGATAAATCCTAATTATGGTCCAGTGTCTGTCTTTCACAGAAGCCAGCAGAAGATAATTTTAAAAAGGAACATAAAAAACAAGTCAAGAACATGGATATCTTCAAAGGCTACATCACAGACGCACCAGCCAAGATCTCCTAAACTAAAAAACAAACAAACAAAAAATTTAACTAGACCATCATATTTAATAGCCATTGACTGAACTATTCTTCAGGAATTTGGCTAAATATTTTTCTTCATCTTCTTCATAGTTCTGTCATTCTGTAGCAAAAAGTTCCATAGTTTAAACTATGGAACTTTTTGCTACAGAGTATTTCTCTTGCTTAAAGTCTGCTACCTGGCAGTTTCAGGTAGTGCCCACTACCTCTTGTGTTATAAGAAACAGCAGAAAAAGATTAATCTTTATCACCCTTCTCTATAACTGGAATGATTTTAGATACCTCTAGCATATCTCTCCCTCCTTAATGGTCTCTTTCCTATTGGTAGATTTTCTAGGTTAGAAGGAAAAGAATGCTCCCACCAGAACAACAACGTTTAATAAGAAGGATGAAGAAAAAAATCAAGCAATAGAAGATACCTCCTTTAAAAGTGGGACTAAAACAAATCATATTAAAAGTAAACTGTCTCATTTGACACAAAACAGATCCAACAGTTTTGGCTTCCTTACACAAATGTACAGGTTTAATTTTTGCATATGCACAGCTTGCATACCCTGGCTTGGCCCCGATAAGGTTGTCCTTTTACAACATATATTGTTCTACCTGTCATCTCTGTTCAGAATAGCCCCACAGAAAATCCAGTAATTAAGATGTGACACAAAGGCCCACAACAGGACAGAAATGGAAGCAAAAAGCATTTTTTTTTTTCCAGAAGATGTCAACAGCAGTGAACTTACTACAGGACTAAAATTATTTAATATGCCACTCATATCTTTCTATGAGACCATTTTCAGTGAATTAAACAAAAAGATGACATCCATACCTGTTTCTTGTTGTGATCCTTCAGGGCTGATTCCAAACCCTCTTCCAGCCTACTGAATGCCATTTCTACATCTGAAACCCACCAGATTTGTGAACTAGTAAGTGCAACTTGGGCTGAGGAGTCAAAAACCCACTGTTCTCTCTGCTTTCCTTCATAAGTCAATTTTGCCTCCATAATGTAGGGACGCACAGCTTTGCGTACAGTTTCTTCAAGTTGTTGCAGCCAAGCCTCTACCTTTGGAAGAAAAAAACCCAAGCATACATAAACACTGCATTTTATACTAATAATATCGGAAGCTCATCTCTCATTAATCTTTATAAATGATTTTTTTTTAAAATCAACATCTTTTACATTAACTGATTTTTTTTTCTGCCCACACTGCTTTTTCAGTAGGATTTAATTCTGAGAAGCCCTTCCCAATTACTGAGATACCAGACATCATTTGTTTTACATATCCAATTGAGTTAAACAGATATATTGTCTTAAATCCCCAAATATTGAAGTTTTAAGTTTTTGTATTCTGCAAACACAAAGTAAACACAAACAATACAGTCTCTTTCATGTCTCAAATGTAGCTGTATGTTGGAGAAAACATCTCTAAGAGGCAAGCTGCGTATATTTGCCAATTCAGTCTGAGGCCTCCCTGCTGAGACAATCAATCATTAGAACCACACGCAACGCTGATTTTATGCGATGTGAACACTCATCCATTGAGCAGTGTTCTGAGAACAATAAGTTATTGTCCCAGAAGCTGCTGATCTGTTCTTTCTGACCTACCACTGCCCAGTTAGCATGCATACTGGCTGGCCAATTAGCAAACATGAGCCTCGAAACAGCTGAAATCCTGTTCAACTGATAGGGAACATGGAAGAGAGCTGGAGGTCTGGAGAAGTGTGTTAAAGGATAGAGAAGGAGGGGATCTGAAAACGTCAGGGAAGATGAAACAAAAGAACAGAAGACGAGAAGAAGTGTAAGAAATGTAATATTTAAACATTGGCTTCATCAGTTCCATTACTTTCAGTGGAAGCTTTTTCGATGGCTCCTAAACACTTGCTTAACTCTCTCTAAACATTTATGTACAAGGGACAGCTAGACAATTTATTATTAGTTTATTAGGCAGTTAAAATATTTTAAAATTTGTAAAAAATATTTTAACTTTTTAAAAATGTTTAAATTTCCATTTTAAAAAGTGACATTTCATGCCAATATTAATTTCCTATTTAATCTACATAGCAAAGAGGTGAACAATCCATGAAAAAAACTTCACATAACTCAACATACCTGATCATCGCATTCACATTCTTCCTGGAATGGAAGATATCCCTTTCCTCTGCCATACATGCCATGTGTAAATTTGTAAATTCTTCTTTATTTTCTTGAAATTTAAGATCAGCAACGTTGCCCAAAAGTCGGTAAGATGATGGGTCACCTGCACCCCAAAATACAAGAGATTTAAAGACATTTTTTATCTCAGTCTTGCTGCTGTCCAACTACCTTTACGCATAGTTTTTAGGAACTAATTGGATAATATGAATACTTTACACTAACATTACAACCGCATTTCTGATTCTAATGCTTTCAGCACATAGTACTTTGATTGATCTTAGTGAATAAAATGCACTGAATGAAAGGTAACTAACACTTCGTTCTCAATTTTTAAATACAATGAAAAAGTTAAAAAACAGTTTTTCCGTAGCATTAGAACACTTATGCCATTCAAACAAAATAAGACTATTTTTGATCTCCCATGTGGCACAGACTGACACAGCAATGCTATCTGAGTCTCTGTTACGAGATTACTACACAAGAGGCTTTTATGGAAAAAGCTTGAAGAAGATGCTCGCAAAGCAAGTAGTGAACAGAGTTAATTACGCTATTGTCAGTGGTCAGAAGAGTCTGAAGGATGAAGATAGATCACTATAAAACTGAGAAGTCTCCAGATTGTTATTATTTATGGCAAGTGCTTATTTCACAAAGGTTTGTCAATTCAGGCCTAAATGCCTTTTGTAACAATACACCTCTCCAAAGACCATGGAGCTGGAAGATCGCTGTCGACACAGGAGCATGTAGTATTCCTGACAAGCAGAGCTGGAGAGTTACTTGCCTGCTCTTCTTTAATATGGCAGTGAGCAATAAATGGATAAAACAAGTCACTTAACCTCAACTGATTGAAAGACACTGTGAGAATCTACGATTATGTTTTATAAGGCTTAGTGTTCAAGTCTCACACAAGTCCTTCATCCTCTGGGAAAGTATCAGTTCTTCTGTCAAATCCCTTCTAAATAAGCTTTGCCTGAGACGCATCAATAATTTCTAGTACTCAGAGAATTAATGGCCATAGCTGGATAGTCACTGAGGCCAGGAGTATCATCTGGTTCGTAGATAACATAGTATAAAGCTTTTGAAATACATCAAAGCGCCGGTGTTTTAATACAAATGGGTCTCAAACTGCCACAAAACCTGGTAGATGATTGTTTAAGGGAGGAAAACAGAAGGACGGATACAAAAACATTTTTAGTACAATGGCCAGCAGCTCAGTCAGTAACAACCTAGAACAGACCATAGATCTTTCGGTGCTACATATCATCCCTATGCGTAGCATGCCTGAGATTTGATCAGTCTGGACCAAAAGCAGAATAGATTTGATGATCTCATTGGTCTTTCAGTTTCTAACTCCTGCAAACCTACAATCCAAACAAGTACAAATCTCACGCGTCTACATTTCCAGCAAGAGGCAGCACAGAATTTCCAATACTTTTCCCATAACGATGCTTTCATCTCTCCTTGTTGAAGATGATGTAGCTCTCCCAGTTGGGGGAAAACGTTTAGTACCTTATGTACAACACACATATTTCTAAAATTAAATTAACAGCTAAAAACAAAGGTGTAGATTTATGATACTACCACCTCACATGGTTATCTGGAAATATGCCCTCCTATAGACAAACTGAAGTAAAAAAATATGCAAGGAAGTTTACCTTTTTAGGCTGTCTTCCTTTTGAAAGAATGTCTAGCAAATCAGCTGAAGGAACAAAATAGAAGTAAGGAAAAGCTATGTGCTTGGTTTCTAAATATTCAGCCAGAACTTTTCCACAAAGAAAAAGTCATAGAAGGAGACAGAAATTTTAATGATATATGCATTTAATCATTCTAAAACCAAAAACTCCATCCCATTAAGGATGAAATCAAACCAAACAGTAAAACAGAACAATATGATCCACTTTTAACATAAAATAACAACTTTAGACACAGTTCAGTTGTAAGGAACAGAGAAGGCGGCAACATTTGCACATTTCCTTTCCAGAAACACTCACTGACATAGAACACGCTCTTTTTACTCAATTCAGTCCAAGAAATCTAAGAGAATGGAATGCTACCAGAAAAGTCTCTGAAAATATAAGTCTGGTGAAGTGGAAATTCCCCTTCAATCATCCAAAGAGTCCAGCTTTAGAAAGTAATTTCTTACTTGACAGGACAGTTATCTTCGAAAGGGAGAGGGAAAAAGAAAAGGGAGAGGGAAAAAGAAAATTTTTTTAAAAAAGGAAGAAAGAAAAAAGAAGAAAAAGTTAAGAACCAGTCTAACAGGGGAGCAAGGTTACTGGTCCTCTTAAGATACATACATTTTCTCTCACATCTGAAGAATAACAAACATGAAAACACATTTTGCAATTGGCACAATAAGTATTAAGACTCAAGATACTCAAATTACATGCCTATCTGGAGGAAAAAAATATTTATGTATGACAAAGAATAATGCACTTCACCTATTAGCTTGGTAACTCTCATCATAACAATGGCATCACAAAACTACATTTCACTCCAAGGAGCAAGAGCCTGTGACTTCAAGCATCACTCTCTCTCCAGGCAGGAAGACTGAACGCCAATGAGAAGTTTAAGGCATACCCTGGATGGTGTTCAAGAAAGACCTTTGCAAGGACACCACCCACTATCTCCTGCTGTAAGCATGAAAGAAAGATTTCCAGCTTCTAGCTTGTGGACGGGAAAAATTTAAAAATATCTGACAAAGTTAAGTTTTGCATCATGCAACCCGCAAATTATGTAACAATGTCTCACAAGTAATTGATCATATAAAAAGAGTCAAACATCACTTGGTAAGGCATACTACTCCAGTATGTTTAGTATCAGCAAAAAATGACAAAAATATTACCATCAGATCACCTCACACCTGAACAAGAAGGAAAGCATGACCTAGCTCTCATTTACTGACTATTCCAGAACTGCACTTTAGAACAATCCATAATAGTACTGGAAGTTTTACCTGTGCTGCAAAGCTTCAAATTTGTCATACAGCTTTGGTTTGATTGTATCTGCTATCACATTTTTTGTATTTGCTGTGTCAATCATTAACTCCACAGAAGTGCAAGAAAATTAGTTGTAACATGTGGAATTCTCCTTAGATTTTTTTCCCCCCATTTCAGATCATTTCCTAAACTGGGACAAGAAAATCACTGGGAAAAAGATTTGGAAGAAGGCACTTCATCAGATCGTTCTGGATTCTACTTCTTAAATGGCAAAAGAGAATAAGCAAAGAAAAAACTCACAAATATTTATTTTGAAAATGTTTAGACTGAATATGAAATGCAAAATGAACTCGGACAACTGCATTGAAGGAAAACAAATACCACTTTAATTACACTGTTAGATCTCTTCCGACAAAATAAAAATGACCAATAGTAACAGAAAGCATTAACTTGTATTTAATTCTGCTTATAAGTACAAGTCCAATGCCATGAGGAAACTTATGCATATTCAACTACATGAATAATTCATTGTTCTTAATAGGGTTCTCAACTTGCACAGAAGTGTGAACGTAGATTTTTTTTTGTATGAAGTTAGAAGTTAGACATGCTGCTGCCCGCATTGTTTAAATCTGCAATTTAAACGATTAGAAATTTATTTCAAATTCTACATGCAGAACCACCTTATAAATCATTATCAGAGCTCTGAGGCAAGAGGGGTAGATAGACTTGGTGATCCCACTGAAAAGCTTCAGCTTTTCAGAAATGCCTGTGTGAAAACTGAGACCTCAGAGCTTTCCCTTACATAAGGGAACTGAACTATAGGTATGCTGGTAAAATGCAAGTTATCTTCTTTACTTAGAGAGGTTCCAGTGACTGTTTTTGTCAGGGTGAACAATTAAGACAGATAGTTTGGGGAAATTAATATGTTTCAGTTCGCTACAAGTGATTGCTACAATCACTTTTGGTTAACAATAAATAATATACCTTAACCTTGTAATATATTTACCATCATCATCAGTGATATGCATTTGACAAAAGGGGTTTCTGCAACTCATGAGTATCATATCTTTATGCCACTCCAGGATGCTAAACAATAATTAATAAATGGTAGATTACAATAAAAGAAGATATTAACGTCACGTGAAGAGGTAATCTGAGGAACTGTTTCTACAACAATGGTTTGCAACAATATGTCATCTTGCATCTCCTAGTCCACCATAAAGAAAAACAAGATAAATGATTATTCTGATTTTAATAATAAAAAATGGAAACTCTGCTTCTGAAATTTTCCTAAGTAAGCCTGGGACCCTCTGTAATAACTTTAATTCAGTGGGTTAGAAACCAGTCTATCAAAGAAATACTCAAACTAATCTGTCAATATGGTATTTATTTTAAAAAGTCTATTTAATTTAGTCTAAATACAAGATACTATCTATATAGTCTAGGTACAAGATATATAGTCTAAATACAAGAGTATACTATAGTCTGTAATACAAGATACAAATGGACATAAAACACTAACTCTAAAGGAGTTACTAAATAAATAGCCCTACTAACTTTGAAGTTGGTATTGATTCCATCAAACCTGTTTGCATCTTCGGGCTTTTCAGAATTGCTTGCTAGTAACCTAGAAAAACAAGTAGTAAAGCAAAAAAACTGTGCTAATGAAAATAAGTTTCAATAAAAGTTTAACAAATTATCTTATAACTTATTATTACTGTAAATCATAACAGAAGACATTTTTAAACATGCCAAAAGGACAGCATATTATTAAGAGATTTCAAAAAATCTAAGAAAATATAAGCTTGCAAAGCTGTAATTTTGTTAACTCCTACACAGAGACCAAAATTTTCGTTAGAATATATATAGTTAAATAGCATACATATAATTTCAGAGGACTAACATCTGGAGAAAACATAATTTACTGCAGTAGAGATTCTGGGAAAAAACCTTTAAGCTAACCAAGTGTATCAAGGGAGTGAATAATACCGATATACTAATATTGCTACTAATTAAATCCTTACTTGATTGTTATATAAAGTTTCAAACAGTTGTTCATCTGACTTTAATAAAGGAGCTCTATTTCTGTGATACTCTTCATAAGAAAATTCCATGGCAGCCCATGTCTGGCTGATTTCTGCAAGAATCTGGGGCTAAGAACACTAGTAATAACCTCTGTTTATACATACCACATTTCATATTTTTAGCTGAGAACTGTAACTTAATATGTTTAAGGCGCAGTGATGTTAAATTATACCACAGACAAGAACGCAGTTACATTATGCTTCACTTTGGCTGTGATTTTTGCTCAACAGATAAGTCACATGAAATTATTCATTTCTCTCATGAATTTCTTGAAACAAAACTTAATCGGCGCCCTTAACCAAGATCTTAATAGGTGCTACAATCAAGACAATAATTTGTTATATACTATTCTGCAGAAGAAGGGGTATCTCTCACCTTTTCAGTACCCAACTCTTTCACAGCTTTGTCAACTATACTTTAGACTTCAAGGAGGAGTCCCAGAAGGTCTGTCAAGATTGCATCATCTGCTACTAAAAGCCTGACCTGTAAAACAAACAAATCACAGAACAAAATAAGTAAATAAGTAAGAAGTCCTACACAAGCATTTAATAAAATGTTCAAATGCAGTCTAAATGAGTTAAGTCATATACCCTGTAGATACTGCTGTGCTTTCAGCTCTTCACCAAAACCATGTGGTACCTTTGAAGCTAATCAGCCTAGACAAAATATTGTGCAGATGCTCTTTAGTGCATTTTTTGGTTTGAAACACTTTGTTGAGTGGTAATCTGTGTGCTCCTGGACTGTAATGTAACGTATATCACAGACATGGGACTAACTGGAAAGTTTATTTGTACAGCTGCCATTGAAGTTGATGGAACCTACAGACACAGTACTTGTATTCTAGAAATCCTAACACATTTTTTATTTCCCATGTTTTGTTACCACTTTGGAATAACAGGTTTTTCTTTTTTTTTTAACTGTAAAATTTTAATCAAGACACTGAAAAGATTTACCACAGTCAATCCTAACCGAGTCTTTCTGAGAAATTTAAATTTATCTATTTTGGTTCATGCAAACTCCTCCTTTGGTTATACCAGCTACATAATCAACAGTTGGGTGAACTGCATACGCCTTTTCCTCATCTGGCGCCCCTCTGTTTTATCTATCCACTGTCAAGTCAACAATCTCCCTGTGCATCAATTCCTAACGAATCTGCTACTAAGATGATGTTTCAAGCGGCCTATTTCCTTCCTTTCCTTGCATTTCCCTCTGCCTATCATTTTCTCCAGTCACTATCCAGAAACATTCTCTTCGTTATCCAGGAAAGCTTCTAGCCATATTGTTTTGGAGTTCTTTTAACTATTTAATACTAATTATTTCCTGGTAGTATATGCCTGCCACAGATGGGACAGGAACCCCTTATGCCTCGTGCTATTTTGAAGCTCAGCAGACAGACTCGGCCTCCTATTAAACAACTCCCTAAGCCAGTGGGACCTTTTGTTTGAGCAGAGACTTCAAATTCACTTCTCAGCACATAAGATGCCTAAAACCTGAATCTCCACTCCACTTGTACATTGAATAGTTGGCCCCTGGTACGGTGATCTCTTTTTTTTGTCTTTCATTCTTGGCAGCAGTGGCCTGTCTACCATATGCCTGACAGTACTGTTGTGCTTAAGTGTACAGCACTAAAGACCATGACTGGAGTCTCTTTTGATGACTACTTACTCCTGTCACATTCACGATCCTCTGACTACAGGATTTTGCAATTCCAGTATTGCCCTCAGTGATGTCATCATATCCTTCACCTTTAACACCAAGCCTGTATATACATCCCAGGAACGAACTCCCTTATCCAAAGACCACATTTCCTAAGGAATAAGATTAAAATATTTGCAATAATTGCTCCCCGTTAACAGTCACCTTGTTAATGGTGTTCAAAAAAATAAATAAATGCACAAAAGGATTTGCAAGGTTTGCCAGAAAGCTGTACTTTCCTGTTTCATACGCAGATGTGCGGGAGTGTCTTGGTTAGCACAAGGTTAGGGAAGATTTTGTTTAGGTTATTGATTTATGCTGCTGATTGACTTAAGGCTCTGGAAATGTTCTTTCCAGTGTGGCAACTTAAATAACAGAACTGTGTTAACATTGTATATTTACACAGTGATTTTATGATCCCAGTTGGACCAGAGCCCTTTACTTTATCACGGTAATGTAAAGAGGGCCAGCGGAAACTCCTGCATGCACACCAGAGCGTGAGGAGCCTGACACAGGCGTTCAGCCTACAGGCAGCAACGGCAGTGATCGGCATCTTCTCTGTGCCATCACCTGGCACGCCACAGTGAACAATGGAGAAGCAGAAGTTGCCCCAACCTCCCCCTCGCTCTTCCCAACCCTGTCACACCACATGTCCCTGATATCATATGCAGCAACTGACTGAGCGGGTTAATTTTGAAGGAATTAAGTCAAGACACCTGCTGTAAGCCTGACTCTCTCTTGCAACAGCATTAGCTGGGCATACAATGAAACCTATTTACTTCCACATGAAACAAATGTGCAATGAAGAAGATACCCGTTAGGTTCAATACTTTCTTCCCCGCATACACAACCACTACACTGTCTGTGGCTCACAGCTATTGCTTTAGTGTCCTGCAAACAGTCTGGGGGGCCTTAGTTCCTATTTTTGTTTCGAATTTCCCTTGTCCTCTTAAAACTGTCTTCTGTAGGACCACTACCAAAAAAAAAAAAAACCCACTGTAAATACCTCAAGCAAAGAAATTATCCTCCCTTTAAAAATGAACATCTTTGCTGCACCTCCCAACACTCTGGAGCTATGTCCAAGAGCAGAGCCGATAAACCTCTGTAAATTCCACTTGTCTCTTCAACTAATGACTTTCATCTTGCAAGGACTGACGTAAAACCCCACCCTCTTTATTCTTTCATATACTGCCTCAATTCAGAGAAGTGACAGCATGATTTTACCATCTACCTCCACAGGGACTAGAAACTCAGCCAGAAGAATAACATTTTAAAGGACAGCTCCCAAACCAAAACATGTTCCTAAACATTCAGTTTGAACATAAGCAACAAATCCACTGAAACATCAAAGTGGGTGGGAAGAATGAGAAAGGGGTGGACACAAGACAGATAAATTGTAGAAATAGTCAGCTACGGAACCTGCCTTGGCAGACCTTCGGAGCTCTCTATCCATCTGTTCCACATTAATCTGCCTCCACTGCGTTTTAGTCCAGTCATCAATGCTGCTCTCAAAAACAGAAAGTATGGGTAAAAGTGTCAACAACATTTGGTAAAAACAATTTTTTGCTATATAACAGATACATGGATGCAGGGGGTGGCCTATCATGCAGCAATAGTTCTTGGCCCTTGAAATACTAAGTTTTTCCAAGCCTACACCACCACTACCTAGAAAGTGTACCAAATAATCCATCTCAAAACCTAAACCAAAATCCAAGCTTTTAAGCTATTTCACACTTACATCTCTGACAGTGTGAGAAAGGTGTGTATATTCCTATTAAATATACACCTATATCTACTGATGTTATACAGATACAACTGGAATTGTGGGGGAAACTGCCCCCATCCCTCCCTAGCATTAGACATGCCATGCAAAGTACTATAGGAAAAAAAACAATCAAATACACACATTCTTAACTTGCCTATGAAAAACAACTTCCCGAGATAAACAGAATTTTATAATGCTGATTTACCGCACAGGTCTGTACACTGACTTTTCTCGACTCAGAATCTAAGTGAGGATATAACTGTTTGTGTAACTGCCTTGCATCTAGCCTTCCTCAGCTTTCTAACATACAATTCGTCAATCTGAAGGGGGGGTTGTGGGGCTTTTTGAATTTTTACTCATTGGTTTTAATTATTCCAGCAAACTATTGGTAACAAATAAGCTTAAAATGAAACTGCAAGGGTTATTTTGCTTTGAGATTATTTTGAAATTAGTTAAGCTGATATTAGAGATGCTCTTTATCTGAGTGTTCTAAAATATGGCATTTATAATTTCAAGAACAAAAGGAATATGAAATTCTTCAGTATTTTAAACTTTTTTATTTTATCAAAACTGTAACACTTCACAGACCAAATTAAGAGTGTAACTTTCAAAACATACTCTAACTTTATAATTTCTTTAAAAACATCTTGCATTAGTGTAAACACTGATATCCCACACTTTCTTGAGCAACTCCCTTTCTTTTTGACATTGTTCCATTTGCTTGTAGTCTGGAACAATTTCTTCAGAGAGCCTTGTGGATTCCTGCACCAGTAACATTTCTTTTTCCCGTAGTAACATTTCTTCTCCAGCATCTCAACCTCTTGATTTGCCTTGAAGAGGAAAAGAGCACCTTAATAAAGTACAGCTATAAAGTATTTTGAACATACCTAAATCAGGCAGTGAAATCTATACATCTGATTCAATGTACCAAAAATTTAGAGGAATTATTGCAAACAGGTTAACCTGCTGCATTTGCAATGTCTCTGAAAGAGCCCAAAGGCCCACCACACTCTGGGTTAGAGCCATAAAGACAAATAACTGCACAGAAAACAGTTAATTTATACTCTTGCAATAAATATCTCTTTTGACTTATTAAAAGTTGTATAAACGCTGATAAAACCCCTCCATGATGTTTCAGAAAGATACACTAAATCTTCTACTCTAATGCATTCAAAGTATATTATGCTGACTTTTTCAAAGAACACGAATATAAAGTATATGCAAATATTCTGCAGTGCTTTATTTTATCAATGATCATATGCAGCTTTGGCAGAGAAACAAGGGAAACTGGGATTTGGTGGTGATTTTAAGATAGGAAAGATAAAACCTTTGATATTTAACTACTGGAATTCTACCTTTTTTACAAAAACAGTAAATATTTGAATGCGTATATCACAATATCATTAGATTTGGTACTGAAAGATTACAAGCAACTACGCTTTTCTGAGATTTCCCATTATCTTATCAAGATGCGCATATGGATTTTCTGCACAAAACTGAAAAGGAGCTTCCATTTCAAATCTTTTGCTGAATTCTATCTGCTTCCCCTGATAAAATACAGGTAATAAGATCTGTCACTGATCGCATTCTCATTAAAAAAAAAAAAAAGGGGGAGGAGGGAGAGAGAGAAATAGTAAAGACTGATTTCAGAATTCAGCCTACATCAAATGAAGCCCATTTTCCTCTGATAACTGCAGCCTCAGAAGCCTGAAAAGGAATTACTTTGTGCTTTACAGACATAGATATCTTTTTAACGGCATTTCATTTTTCAGGCAATTCCTACTGAGCAGAGTAAAATTATCTTGGAGGAAAAATATCACATATGGCAGAAATACACAGGTGAGTTTTATATCTTAACAATGGGCATATCCCAAAACCTGTACATCAGTAAGAAACTACAGTGGAGGATTTATTTAATCACAAACAATACCGTACTGGGTAACTTTTGCTGGAGTTTTTGTCAAGTGCAAAGTAAGTAATTTTATGGCTAGCTGGTAAACAAACTAGGTGAAATAACTTAATGAACTTACTTATTTGATGTCTAAACACATAAAAATTGATCCTAAAATGTTTTGGGAATCTTCCACACAGTCAAGTAGAGAGCTCCCCTCCCAATGACTCAATACTTAACACACTTTCAAATACACAAAGCTGAGCTGGAAATACCTTTCTCATTCTACAAATCTTTCTAACGCCTCAAGAAAAAACATTCAGGAAACCATTCAAAAAACCTATTGCATCAAGATGAAAAAAAATACCTTGAAAGGCTTTTTCTTTGTCTGTTTGGAAATAAGCATGAGAAATAGAAAACCTGAATGCAAGTCACTTCAGAGTAACTAGAATACTAGCTTAAGGTAAAATGCTACATTTATTTTTCTAGCCAATCCCTCTACCTAGTTTGAACCAGACAGAGGTAGAAACAGAAATTCCATTCTGAACTAGAGAATCTTACCACAATTTCACTGAATCTGGTGAGAAGTTCCCATTTTAACTAATTAATTTATCTGATGAAAAACATTAGTTGAATTTCTGTCCCATTCTAAATAACAGGGTAATATTATTTACAATGTAGTGCATCTCCCAAAACAACCCAAATAAAGGTCTCGCATATGCAGGTGCTGATCTTAACGCCATAGTTTAATAAGCACTTATTTTAGTGTTAAGGGGAACCACTACAGCTGTAGTGCCTTTCCACCTATTCTTAACATATCCAACAAGGTTATTTTTAATTCAGATAACTCCCCCAGCTTCACCTGTGACTCAAAATAACTTCATTGGAACGGCTGTAGGGCAACACGTATACAGAAACAAATGGCTGAAGATGTCTGAAAAACAGTATCATTTAACAGGCATTAAATCTCAACTTTTTTATCCATATTTGAACAGAGTCCCAAACTATTGCTAACTCTGTTAAGGAACTGGAAGCAGCACAGAAAATATGTTCACTGGAGTTTCTATATGGGTTAGCATCTAGGAGGAGCCTTATGAACGTAAGCGTGACTCGATCAGTAGAAAAAGGCAAAAAATAACTATGGACCTCATCAGAACAAAATGTAACAGATCTCTCTTTGAACTGACTTTCCATCATTCACACAAAATAAATGTTTTAAAAACCCAGTAAAAGCTACCTGGTTTATATCTGGCAGTTAAGAAGGAGAGAAAGTGGAATTATTTTACATCACTGAGTTCAAGTACTGCTATTTTAGGACCATATGCACACATGTGGACATGAAATATTACTTTTGCTGGATTACCTCTGAATAGACATAAGCTTGGTCTGGTATCTTGTGTCCATAGCTTTTCAGCAGCATAACTATCTCTTTCAGAGGTTCAAAAATTCATCAGTAGCTGTCTGCCTCTATTTCACAGCCAAGAGATAACCCATGATTTCTACCAGCCCACAATAATCTCGCCTCTTCACGTCTCTTTGAAGTCCAGCATCCGCCATTTTCATAAACTCTTCTAAGTCAGTCAGACTACCAAAGAGAGAAAGATGTGATTACAAACACAGCAAAGATCCCTTATTGCAGTGAATAAATGTGTGGTAAGTCCTACTGGTTCTACCAGTGGTACTTATGTTGTAAAAACAGACTATTCCAAGACAGCAATTCAGAGATGGCAGCTACCTACTACTGAGAATTAACCCAACACGATACGCAAGTGAAACAGCTGGAAGAGTTAAAAACAAAATAAAACAAATAAATCCATTAATTTACACTATGCTTTTAAAAACATCATAAGACGACTATCCTGAAATACACCTGAGTCTAGCAACATTTCAATACGATAGGTTTGAAATGCTCTGCTGAAAAACCACCTCTGCTGGCCCAAACTCTACTTTGCTTTACCTCTAGTTAAATGAGCTTGACGTGAGTGGATATGCAAACTCAGTTCACTCAAGTATTACATGGAAAAAGACCCTAAACTTAAGTCTATAGTGCATATAAATACACACACAAAACACACTCCTTTTACATAACGACAAATTTCATAAGACACTCCTTAAACATCCAGCTCCATTTCTTAATAATGTTTAGCAAACTCATTTTGAAAGGCTACATATCCACCTTAAACCAGCTCTTAAAAATTCAAAAGTCTTCATATTTGCTGATCTTAACATAGAGATTTTCGTAGATGTCAATCTATGGCAGAAAAGAGAGAAATATATGTATATACTCCTCCCATTTTTATCTCATTAAACAGTCAGAGTTACTAAGACTAGTTGCTTTCCTGCCTGCTATTTAAACTGTTTAGTAGTGGGAGGCTGTTCATGAACTTCATCAGCATGAGGCATCTCTTCACATGTTAAATAAACCATGACCACAGAAAAGAAACTGCTTCATAGGCTCTGACTGGTCATCTAACCAGAGATAAGCGTAGGTATCAAGAGGATTTCTGCACTCCAGGGTTTGGATGGTAGCATCTGCCACTCTCTCCATGAACTCCTGCCTGATTTCAGACAGATCTAACATGTTAGCATTTCTAACATTAAAAGAAACGTCTGTTATTTCAGTAATTGAAAGGCAACAATACCAACTGGTTAAACATACTGGCATGCAAACGAAAGACTGGAATTCCACCCATATTCCCAGAAAACTATTAATACAAAAGCATAATTCACTCAGCTATTCCTATTTCAGATTTACATTTGTTATATAAACATACAAAAGCAAACTGAATATAAATCCCTTGTAAGTTATTGAAAGCTGAACATTTCCTGGACTGATTCAGACCATCAGTTCAGTGGATAGCATACCTGATAATGTTCTGATTCCAGGTATGTTGCTACCCTTTTCACCCGGGCAGACATTTTGAAAATATCACCCAGAAGTTCATCTACTAGATCATAAAAACCATCACTAGCCTATTTAACTAGTAAAGGTTTAAATCCAATCCCTATGGCATTAAGGATCGTTTGTGCTTTTAAAAGTGGAGTAGGCTTTAAGCTTTCTTCTGTGTTCTCCAAAAACAAGTCTGAAGAATGCATTATGGTGTCATATAAGCCATTAACTACAATGTCATCAACGTACACCATATACATCTTCCAAGAGGCTGAGGAGGAATCTCTTTTGAAGAGCTTTAAATTTCCCTAACAAGCTTAACAAATCATATCACAATTTAAAAAAAAAGCACTTTAAATTATGGTTGCGTTATTGTATGTCTTCATTTAGTATGCCTCCTGGTTTCTCTATTATTTTATACAGTGATATATAGCACATAATATAGCACAAAATAACACTAATACTTTTTGTATCAAATGTGCTGCTGGATGGCACTTTGATCAGTGTAGGAGACTCCTGAACCTCCTCGGAATCACATTTACCCTAACAAAGCAAGGCTGAAGATACCTACTGCGCTGATAAGACCACAGGCTGGTGGAAAATGTAACAGAATGCAGCAACATCGATGGAACAGTCACATTTTGAAAGAATATCTCTGCATGTTTGTTCCGCATTCATTCCAGTACGAACTCCTATTTCACTCTTGTTCTTAATTAAGTATCAACAGTATAAATAAAGGCAATAATACAAATAAAGTTAGACCTGAATCTGAACTGAAAGATACCAACACTAAGTTTAATGTTGATAACAGACAGAAAAATTTATGTGCATCTTGCACTAGAAACAGACAAGCAGGTCCCTTCAAGAAAAATTAGCAAAAATGGGGCAAGGAGACAAAAACCCCTGCTTCTGGGTTTCTGTCTTGTTCATGTTAAGGCCTTTGATTCAGAATAACTGTATCACTGTCACTGCTAGTCACATAACACAGCAGCTCATATTTAAGGATATGACCTTTTGATTTAGTATTCACAAGTAAATAGAGGAATTATCTGATGTGTATTTTTAATTAAGCAAATAAGCAATATTCAAATTTCAAGTCAAAACTATTTCACATCATATCTAGTGCAAGAAGGAATTTATGAGTGATTTTTCCAGTTGCAGAAATGATTTTACCTATAGAGGTCACAGAAACAGCACAGCTCAGGGTATGAAAAATGAGACAGCAGAACCATCATGCACTAGTCAGTCATTCCCAATCTACCAACTTAAAAAAAGCACTACTGTGCTTTTCAAACGTTGCAGAGACTGTTATGTGAAGACAAATGGGAAGAAGACAAATGTCAGTCTTAAAGAACTCTTATGTGGTTTGCACAATGACACAAGTATTTAGCAAAAACATACACATAATAGTGATTGATAAAGTGTGGTTATGAATAATAATCATTGCCAGAGATACGCTTTAAAAAATAAAATCAGATTGTCATTTAAATAACACATCTATTACCTCTAGAAGATGATGGATCTGGTAGCTATCTTCTTGTAGCATTTTGTATCTTTTAGCAATTCTTTTTTCTTTGTCATCCAAGTTTAATAAAGCTTCTTCTTTATTTTTCCTGAAATAGAAGGCATGTTCCCTCCAACCATTCACAATCTGATGGACCATTCTAACATCATCCTTTGATTGTTGAACTCTTTGCTGTGCATTACACATTGACACTTTCACTTGTTTGATATAGTCCTAGCAGGTGGCCACCTGCCACGTGTACATTCTTCTGCTTCTTTCACCTCCCCCTCAACAGCTCTCAGCTCTTTTTCAATCAGAGGATAGTCTACCTCCAGAAGGCCTACCACCCCACCTCCAGAACAGTCTGCAAGGGCTTGTTGTACAGCTTGTTCAAAGTTTCCATGGTACTGTTCACAGGAAAGACGTTCACAGGATGAAATCCCTCTAAAGTCACACACACGATGTTACGCGCTCAGATGGACAGAAAAGCCATTTGAGGGAGGTTCTTCCACACCTACATGCGATGAAAGGGAAACCATGGGGGCCTTAATTGCGTCAAAACAGAACAGGCTGCTAGGTAGAAGGTACTCTCCAGAGCACAACTGGATCCAGCATCTGGAGGATCCAGACTGGAAGCGCCTTCAAGTATGTAACGCTCAGCTATGGCCAACATTGCAAGCTGAAGTATAAGCTGCAGGTGGGATTCTGTTAGATAAATATATGGTATTTCCTTTGAACAAGATGAACAGTAGGACAAATAAGGTTGCGTGCGTGCTCACACACATGCACACAATTTGCAAGAGGGAGGGGAAACAAAAATAAGAGCACATGACTTATACATGCTAGAAGCACAAACCTTTGCAAAACTGTTCCTTTTCTCATATATTGCTAAAGCAGAATATGGAATACTGGATTGGTTCAACATCAGGAGATACTTCACCTCTCAGTAGAGTCACTTTCTAGAAGAAAGAAAGAAACAGTTTCAGAAGGATCAGTGCAAGAACTTTTTAATTTGGCACGTAATCTCAGATACTGAGGCATTAGAACAGCACTGTGATGACGGGAGTATGAGAAAATATAAAGGAGACATGTTTTAACTAACATACAGTAATTTAAGGGCAGGGAAGTAGGGTCTTTGAAGTTTCAGAACTAAAAGTAGTACTATATGTTGCAGACAAGTGCTAACTGTAATTATTATTAACCTCCATATGTCTCTGGCAAAAACAATTAATAATATAATGGCTTTCTTTACTGCTTAAAGTAAGACCTCTCTCCCGCACAGGCACACGGCAACTATATTTCCCAGCTGAAAAATGAAGACAACAAAATAAGTAATCATAGACATTACAACAAGAGAAAGATAATTTTCATATTTTTCCTGGAATCACAGATGACATTTACTCATATCCTAGAATTTTACTGTCATTTTAAGAAAATGAAGTCAAGGAGAAACAATAAACAGATTTAAATACAACTATACATATACCTTCAGATCAAAATTCACACTCAGGAGGCCATTTTTGGGATTACATTTAATTAGAGGTTGGTCTAAATTAAACTAACAGATTTCATGCACCGGAACTTTCTATTCACAGTAGGTCTGATCTTCACACTGGTATATGAATTTCAACATCTCTACATATTTCTGATAAATAAAAATAGCTTTAGGAGTTTCTAAGACTCCACAAAGAAAAAAAAAACCACATCTAATCAATCTTCTTCATTTATTAACAGCAACTTGCAAACAAATTAAGGTGAAGAGTTTTAGCTCCCATAGTATCATTTTTAAAGCAAGAGCTATATATTCTGACCATTTTAAGCTATCCAAAGCCTCATCAAATCAAACAAGAAATTAAAAAAAAATGTATAAAACAAAAAGTGAGAACACTGAGAACAATTAAGATTCTAGGAAAAGAACAGGATATGACCCCATTATATCTTACTGGTTACATCAGTGGTCAACGGTTGAAACGGTTATTACTCAATAACTTTTAACTCAGGTAGGTCTAATTCTCCCACAGGAACATGCCATCCTTTGTGCTGCCACCTAAAAGCATACGTTTAGTGAATGATGGGGAAAGGAGGGAGATACAGAGCACAATTTTTAAATAATCTGGATGTCTAGGTGCCACGTAAGTATCTTTCAGAATGTTATTACTATAGAACAAAGAGTGCTGTTTATACAGCTGATGTTAAAGTTGCTCTGCAATGGAGAAATTCTTGGTTTTGTTTTGCTGCTGATTGACTCATCCACACAATCATCAAGTAAATCTCTTACAGATATAAAAAACAATTCTGAGAATACTATAGAGTACTCTTCAACGCAGAAACAGAGAGTTTCCAGAATATATTAGAAAACTTGAAAAACTGTATTCATGCACCAAGACAGATGTATAAATTCACATGAATGAAAGACAGACTATATTACACAGGTCACACTTGTTCATCAGTGATTAGCGAAACCTTATTTAAAGACTGTTAACTTCCTGCTAAATCAGCGTCTATGAACACTTACCGGTGAGACAGACCTGAGAAGCAAGACCAAAAAGTCTGTATTCGTCCCTTCAACTCTTCAGACCATTTAAAGTTTCCTGAAGCAATCGGCATATTTTTGTTAATTATTTGATTACCTTCAATTCCACCTGTTTATTAATAGAAATGAAATGAAGCCACTTTGAATTAACAAAAAAAATAAGCTTTTATTTTTGCATTGCAACATACCTGGTTACTATGTTCATCAGATAAATATTTGCAATTATCCAGTTCTTCAAAAATTTGCAATAATGAATTGGGCTAAATATCTCCATGATTATAGATTGTTTTAAGAGATCCAAAAATGGTTAAAAGCTTAAGGGAAAAAAAAAAGAAACAGAAGAATTAGATTTCTTTTTCTATAATGCCCCTCTTGCAATTTGAAATCTCAACCCAAACGCTTCTGAAGTGCAAGGATTGGAACTGTACCAAGCAATACTGTCAGTGTATGCCATGTGCTGGCAACAGACCACATATATTTCCAAATATGCTCTTAAATTATGCTATGCGGATAAACTCTGCAATGCCTAAGAATTACAGTTTAATTTGGATCCTAGAAAGTACAGAACTGGGTTTTTCAGATCAAGTACAGGTATACACGCTGCCCTCCAGATGCTTTCTAAAATCCTACATTGCATGCTTCTCACCTGAGTGA